TCCTTGAGTTCATTTTGCTGTGCCACAAGGCCGTGGAGTAAGCTCCAAGCCACGCACACAAGTGTGAGACAGAGCAAATGTGTGTCCTCTTCCCTGCACCTTTCTCCTCTGGCCGTCCCTGTGCTGCTGACCTCGCAGGTGTCACCAGCTCCCCAGGCTACCCTGGTCACACTTGATGTCCCCGCATTTCAGAGTTCTTCCTAAAAAAATTTTTGACAGATATAAAAGATGACTTGTAAAACCAGAAGACTCATGGTTAAGAAAGTGATTAGTTTTTTCTATATGAATTTTCACTTCTAACAAAATTGAAAATAAGAATTACAATGTGATATTTTATCAAAATAATTTATCAAGTATTATATTTAGTATATAGAGTATAATTTATGTATACTTTGGTTTATAATGTACTGCAGTATAGAAAATATCTGAAGTATAATTTTAAAGTAAAGTAATGTCAAAGGAAAATCTGAAAAAGAAAGCTTTGGTAGTTAAACAACAAAACACTAGATGTTCAGGTCAATAAGACAGAATAGATAGCTCAGAATTTGATCTTATGTATAATAGTATAAGATAAAAGAATCATTTCAAATCAGTAGGGAGGAGGAGGGGAAAATTTATACAATCAACGATTTCAGATGAACTGAATCCTATTTTGAAAACAATAAATTTCATTTTCCCTTACCATACAAAAATGTTACAGAGGATTAAAGTGTTATATTAAAAATATACATATAACTGCAAAAATTAGAAAAAAAATAATTATTTTCTAGGGAAAAGGGGGTAATGACAACTTTCTAAATGGAAAAAAAGATCTCTTAAGGAAAGAGACATATTTGACTATTGAAAATGAAAAATCTCCATACATAAGAAAAAATTCACCAAAGTTTAAAGTTTAATCAAGAAGTGACGAAGTATTTGGAGCAAATACATCATACCGTTAATATATTTATTATATAAAGAATTCTTACAACCAAAAAAAGTAGAGTTCAATAGATAATGGGCAAAGGGACACAAAAAGACAATTCCCCTGAAATAAATTTAATAGTAAAAAAAAAAGAGAAAATATTAAACTTAATTTGTAGTTATAAATGGAAATAAAAAATAGTTGCTGTTTTTAACAGTAAAAACTCATTACATTTACAGATTAAAACTGATAATATTTAATGCTGGCGAGAGTGCAGGGGACATTGTACTGGTGGTTTAAACGGATAGAGTCTTTTTGGAAAGTATTTGATAATGTTCATTAAGAACCGTAAAATTGTTTGTAACTTAAGAATATTTTAGGTAATCTTTTTATAGAGATATGATTTGCATATAGTGAAATGAATAGTTCTTAAGTGTGCAGTTTGATTAGTTTTCAGAGACACATACACTCATGGAATTCACACCCCAATCAAAATATAGAACATTTCATCACCTCAGAAAGCCCCTTTGTGCACTTTCCCGATAATCCCCACGTCTTCTTCTCATCTATCATTTTTCTGCTTTTTTTTCCACCTCAGATGAAATTTGCCTATTCTAGTACTTCATATAAATGGAATCATACAGACTGTAGTCTCTTGTGTCTGACTTCCTTTTGATCAGTGTTTGGGATTCATCTGTTTTGTTATGTGTATCATTAGTTTGTTCCTTTTTATTGCCAAGTAGTATTTACTGTACACCTTCACCTTAATGTTTATCCGTTTACCTGTTGATGGGCATTTGGGTTATTTCTAATTTTTAGCTCTTATGAAAAAGTTTTTGTAGCATTCTTTTTCTTTGATTGTTTTATTGTGGAGAAATGTGTATAACTTAAAAAATTTTCCATTTTAACCACTTTAAATGTACAATTTGATGGCATTAATTATATTTGAAATGTGCAACCATCACCACTACCTATTTCCAAAAAAAAAAAAATATTTCATCACCCCAAATAGAAACTTTCTCATTTCTTCTCTCCCTAGCCCAAATTTCTAATCTACTTTCTGTCTCTATGAACTTGTCTATTCTAGATATTTCATGTAAGTGATATCATACAATATTTATCCTTTTGTGTCTGGCTTGTTTCACTTAGCATAATGCTTTCAAGTTTCATCCATGTTACAGTATGTGTTAGAACTTTGTTCCTTTTTATGGCTTAATAATATTCCATTGTGTGTCTATATACCACATTTCGTTAACCCATTCATCTGTGGATGGACACTTTGGTTGTTTCTACTTTTGGCTATTGCGAATAATGCTACTGTAAACACTGATAAATAAATATCTGTTTGAATCTTTGTTTTTAATTTTTCTGGGTAGATTTCTAGGAATGTAATTGCTGGGCCATATATCTGAACATTTTTGCATAGATGAAAACATATGTTTTCATCTAGTGTGGGTAAAGATGTATAAGTGAAATTGCTGGCTCATAGGGCATGTGGATGCTTACCCCCATGAAAAACTGTCCAGGTTTCAAAATGATTGTGCCATTTTATACTCCTCCCATGAAAAACTGTCATTCCAGGTTTCAAAATGATTGTGCCATTTTATACTCCCACAAACAATGTTTGAGGTACTAGTTGCTCTACATCCTCATCAACATTTAGTGTTGTTTTGTACTTTTTTTCCCCCTCTATGTGCCAAATGTTTAATATGATTTTTAATATCTCACAACTTGACACAATAGGTATTATTATTTATTTTAAAAATGAGATATAATTGACATATAACACTATGTTAGTTTCAGGTATATAACATAATGATTTGATATTTGTATATACTATGCCATGATTACCCAGTGAGTCTACTTAACATTCATCACCACACATAGATACAAATTTTTTTCTTGTGATGTGAACTTTCAAGATTTACTCTCTCAGCAATTTTCAGATATACAATACAGTATAATTAACTATAGTCATCATGCTGTACAGTGCGTCCCCAGACTTATTTATTTAAAACTGGAAGTTTGTACCTTTTGACAACCTTCACCCGTTTCGCTGACCCCTTCCCACATGTATAAGTGAGATCTTTTTAATTATAGTCATGTTGATGCCATCATCTAATTGTAGTTTTAATATAGAATTTCCTCATGACTTAGGATATTGAGCAATTTTTCAGGTGTTTATCGGCTATTCTTATCTTCCTTTGTGAATTAATGTTCAAATATTGGATTGCTTTATTATTAATGAAGTAGTAGTTGCTATGATAAAGAGCTCACGAATAAAGACCCACATTTATATGGCCAGTTGATTTCTAGCTAAAGTGCCAAAGCAATTCAATGGGAAAAGGAAAATATTTTCACACTTGATCTGAAATAATGGAGCCTCAACCCAGCTCATTTGAGACAAATTGTAAACCTAAATGTAAAAGTTAAAATTATAAAACTTCTAGAAAAAAGTAAGAGGATATCTCCATGACCTTGGAGAAAGCAAGAGTTCTAGAAGAAGATATAGAGAGCAAAACCTTCAAATAGGAACTCCTGGGGGCCTGGGCTTGACTTGCAATGGGCCAGTCCACGGACTCCAGGAATGGGAAGACAGTAGGACCTGCCCAGGTGTTCTTGACATGGCAACCCTAAGGCCTGAGTGGAGGCTTGTGATCAACTATAGGAAATGAGTCCTATATGAACACTCCAGGCAAGGACTTACTGGAATATCTGGTCTTACTGAATACCCCACAACAAAGAAAGACATGAGTCACCTTCCGGGGCCTTTTCCTTATTTTTAATGTGGTCTTCACACCTTAGACCAAGGTCTCCACAAGTGCTTAGAGCAGAGGAGGCCTGCTGAGAGGAGAGGAAGCAGTGCTGGAGCTGCCTGCAAGAGGGGTAGCTGCTCTGCACTGGAAACCTAGAGATAGAAACAGTGCGGAGTGTGGGAAAAACTTGGAGTTTGGAGTCAAATGGACCTGGGTTCAAATCCTCAGACCAATCCTCATGGAGCTGTGTGTCCTTGGGCAATTCACTAGACCTCTCTGAATCCTGGTTTCCTTGTGAATTCAGTCTGATACCATTTGGTCTGAGGCCTGTTTTAGGCATGGAGGGGAGAGGCAATCCTACCTTCAAGCAGTCCACACATAGCTGGACACAAGTGCAACATCTTAAACTCAAATCTTCACAAACAAGCTCCTAACTTTCCTGCTTCAAAACCAGTCCCTCAGCCTCCCAGACCTCAAATATTGTCAAACTTTTGCTTCCTCTCTCTTCTATTTTCTATATCCAATAAGCAACAAAGTCCTACCAATTATTCCTTCAAAATGCCTTTCAGGAAGAAGGTAAACAATAAATAATTTTTAGTATAAGTATTTTCCATGCAATATGTGAGACATACTTACACTAAATTTTTCTATTATATATCTGATATTCAGATTTACTCGGGCAGCCTGTATTTTTATGACAGATGAGGGCCAACGACCTTCATGACACAGATAAAGAGTCAGTGGCCCAGGAGTTGGGACAAGAGGCCCAGCCAGGACTCATTCCCTTCCCAATGGCTGTCTCTCTCCTTTGGCCAGGTTATTGACAGGCTGGGGCAGCACCTGGCTCTGAGAGAGGGCCCCAGCCTCCGTGATGGTGGTGAGAAGGCTGGTGGGGGGCTGGGGGAACTTGCTCATGCTTGGGGTTCATTAAGCCTGAGAAAGCAGGGCCGAGAGGAGCTGTCAGGGTCTACACTGAGAGGGCCTTTTTCTACATCTGGTAGTGCTACAGTGGAGTCCATGGCTGTGGGGAGAGCAAGGGTATGAGGAGATGGCTGATGCAGGGACTCTGCCTCGGCCCCAGGCAGGGAGAGGAGGAGGGGACGAAGGGGCAGAAGGGGCCAAGTGCTGGCACAGAACTTTCCTTTCATGACCACATCTCAGCAACGCGCCCCTCAGCTCGGAAAGCTCTAGTAATGTGGGGATTAAGGGGGGGTGCGTGGGGGGCGGGGAGGGTGGAGCTTCTGTGGTACCACTCCTCTCCCCACACTTCTCCACAAGTTGATGCTGGTGTTTGTGGTAAACCCAGTGACATGGGGAGGTGGCCTAGCAGAGGAAAGGGACCTGGCAAGGTCAGACTGCCGGGCTCCCAGGCTCCATAAAACAGGGCATCGAGGCCACCTGGGCAGCTGCCTCACCATGGCTTCCTGGTCCCTCCTGCTCCTTGCCCTGGAGCTCCTGGCCACCCCAGGTAAGGACATCACCCTCAGTGCAGACCCCTCAGCTCCCCGCACCCTCACCAGCTTTCTCGCTGTCATCATAAAAGCCTCTCCCTCAGAGCCAGGTGCAGCCCCAGCCTGTCGGTGACCTGGCTGATGAGGAGAGAAGCCAGTGGGAAGGAAGGGAGCCCTGGCCGGTTCTGGCACCAGCTGTGCTTATCACGCCGGGTGGCACGGTCCCCTTCTCCTTCCCGGTCTCTGACTCTTCGTCTGTGCCGTGGAGGTCGTTGGCCCTCATCAGAGGATCTGATGTTTTTTCGGGGCCACACTGGCTAAAATCATGACAGGGCTTGTGAGCAAATGGGGACCCCTCACTGTTCAAGACTCACACACCTCTCCCTTCTCCCAGGCCCTGAGGTCATTCGACCATGCTCCAAGGGCTTAGCTGAGGGTAGGGCACTTCTGGAAGGGAGAATGGGTTGGGCTGTGCCACCTGACAGAGTTTGGAAGGAAAGAGTAAAAGAAAGACAATCCCTAGAAAGGAGATGGGGAAAGAAGTTTCCCTGCAGACCAACCCCAAACCTGTGTGTGTGCGTGTGCGAGTTGGGGAGGGGCATGTGAATACAGGAGAGGGGGTCGGTCTTTCCCTCTGGCTTTCCAGAAAAAGCTTGAAAGTGTTTTTTTGTTTGTTTTTTGTTTTTTCCCTGAGAGTGGGTCAGAACAGCCTTAGGGCTGAGAGGCAGGAGAGGGCCCCCTGGACTCTTCACAAGGCCCTACTCCTGTCCTGGGCCCCGGGCACCTCCTGGGCTCCCCACTAGCCAGGAGAACTGACTTTTCCACATTCCTCCTTCCACCTAAGGAGGAATGCTGAAGCTATTTCTTCCCCAGGTCTGGCCTTTACTCGTCTGACCCCCGAGCACCATGACCTGGTGATGGCTGACCTGCATGATGGAGAGCAGTTCTACCAGAGTTTGGCCCAGGAGGGTCTCCAGGTACACAGCTTTCTGCTCGCCTCTCACAGTCCCTCTCCTCCCTGGGTGGTGCCAGAGGCGAGGGCTGGAGGTCTCTAAGGGATAGGTGGAGGAGGAGAAGAGGCTGTGAGCCTCTTCTTAAGACACTGCTTTTGTTCATACTCATGCCTGGTGGTGGTAGGGGCGCCACGATAATCTGGCTGGGCCCTCCACAAGAGGGATCTCTGGGGTCTGCTGGAGTATGGAAGAGGCACGCGTGCTGCCCTGGGAGGTGTGGGTGTGAGGCAGAGTCTGGGGTCCCTCAGCCCCTCTAAGACTACTAGAAAAGTGGGCAGGGGCCAGCAGCCTGGTCAGACCCTTCAGGACAGAAAAATCATAAATGATCCTGCTGGCCTTGGAAGCAACCAAAGGCCCTTTCCTGGGGCCCTTCCAAGGGCCCTTAGGGTGTCAGAGAGACCACCTCGAGGGGCTTCCTTTCCTGACAGGGTGACCTGCTGATCACACGGGAGGGGATGAGCATCAACTGTTGGTCTTGTACGAAGATAATCCAGAAGCTGGAGAAAATGGTGGGCAAGCAGCCTGACAAGGTGAGGCTTGTGGAGCCTTTGGCCTGCTGGTCAATGGAGTGGCAGCCCAGGGCACCAAGCACATCTGCCCAGGACGGGGACACTGGGGAAGGGCTGATCTCCATTGGGCCAGAGCTTCTCAGCAGGTCTCCTCACATGTCTGTGGATGGACTTCAGAGAACTCTGGGAAATCGAGACACTCTGGGGGTGTGAAAGTGGGAGGAAAAGTGTGCATAGTTTCTATCCAGTTCTCAGGACAGAGCTTTGAGAGGCTGGTTCCTAGGGACCTGAGTCAGGACTGGTAAATTCCAGACCTGCCACTTCCTAGCTGCCAGTAATGTGTTCCGAGCCTCGTTTTCTTATCCATGGAATGAGATGGATAATAATTCTTACCTGGCAAGTTGCCCAAGCTTTTTAAAGGAGCAGAAGGGTGGGATGTGCTCAGTGCCACATTGGGCAATGAGTAAATGCTCAACAAGTGGATATGTCACTACCAAGAGCCGTTGTTTCTCCTTTCCTTCCCTCCTCCCTCCCTCCCTCTTCCTTCTTCTTTGCTCCTCCAACCTGGTCAGCATCTTGGTACTGTAGGGCCCACCCTCAGCCCTGAGTACTCAGATGTATCCTTCTCCACTGGGATGGCAGCAGAAGATGTTTTAAAATCAAATGTGCGAAGGCTCCAAGCTCTGATTCCCTCCTAAACTTCTCCACACACCTCCTGTAGGTGGAGAATCCAGCCAGTCCCTGAACTCAGGAAGCTACATAAGCAGAGCCTTTAATGTGGGTCTGGAAGTCACAGGCACCATTCTCCACACAGAAGACAGGGGCAGGTGTACAGGGGGCTGAAACCCTAACGAGGCCAACTGTCCTTCTCTCAAGAGTCCCTACTGGCCAAGCTTGGGCCAAGGCCTTGGGGACTGGGAGTGGGGGCAGGTCCTGTCTCTCGATTCTCTGTTGTCCTGGCCACCTGGCACCAGCTTCTCGCACCCAGTGCTTCCATTGCTAGAGCTGCCCAGGGTTCAAGCTGCTGGAGCCTGCAGGATGGCAGAGCTGGGCAGGGCTCACCATATCCCTATGTCCTCTCATGGCGCTGCCGCGGCAGGACAGCATCGCCCAGGCTGCGTCCCGAGTGTGCAGCAAGATGAGGTTGCTGACAGGCCTCTGCAAGAAGATCATGAAGACGTTTCTTCGTCGCATCTCCAAAGACATCATGGCTGGCAAAACACCCAATGAAATCTGTGTGGACATCAAGATGTGCAAACCTTGAGCAGGTGAGTGCAGAAGTGACAGCATTCCCGGAGATCTCCAGACAGCCTGCCCAAGCATGTGTGACGTGGTTTAAAAACACAAAAATACGTCTATTGTAGAGAACTTCATAAGCAGCTCATACGTGTCCCTCTAAGCTTCCTTGTTATGACACATTACTCCTTCACTTCCAATACAGGAAAGTGTGCAGAAGTTGAATAAGTGGGCTTTAGCTAGAAATGTTTGAGAAATACTCATTAAGGACATAGAGAAATACTCATAAGATCTTGGGGCTTTTTACCCCAGGCAATTCTAGTGTAAAATTAGGTCTCCATCTCTCCTCAGCTATGTGACCCTGGGCAAATAATTTAACCTCTGAGTTCAGTTCCCTCATCTGTGAAAAGAGGATTATAATCCCTATTTCTGAGGTTGGAATGAGGACAGAACAAGCTCTTCATGTATAAAGAGCTTGACACCCAGGAAATGCCTTCAGTCTGGGATGATATTCAAGAGACATTCGAGCCATGATCAAGCTCCAATCCCCAGCCCAGCCAAGATCCTTGAAGACAGAAGCTGAGGCTACATCCTCCCCTGGGATCCTAGGGGCCTGAGAGCTTGGCTTGGGAATCTCACTAGGGAGGGAGGGCTTTCCTGGCTTCTCCCTCCAGGGCAGTTGCAGTTGTGCTGGAGAGGACAGGCCATGGCTGCAGAAGATGGGCGGGAAGGGGCCCATGATTGGCTCTGGCAGCTCCTCACTGATGCTTCGGGACTTGATGCTGGCAGATCCAGGGTTGCCCCTTAGTGTTCAGTCCCCATCATTTCCTGTCATCAAGGCCTGTGGTTTTTATTTTTAAAGCTCGGCAACACATACAGCCTCCCGACTGGCTTCAAGGCTGCGAATCTGGTGTGT